GGGGGGGGGGGGGGGGATGAGCGTAGGCACCCCCCGCACCATACCAGGCAACATGGGAAGGGTGCTTTAACAAATACTTTATTTTAAAAAAGTGTCCATTGATGTAATCCAAAGGTCAATCACGTTGCCCAGAGATGTAGATCCATGTCAATCACGATGGACGACGGCCGCCGACTCACAGGATAATGACAGCTCTGTCCCAAATGTGAACAAAGGGACGGAGAGAGTCGTGACATCATGGGACTTGTTCCACTCATTTGTTGACATTTGGGACTGGAGCTGTCAATGATAGTAGCTCCTGCATCAACAGAGGGTCTAATCCTTTTCCACTTTAAGGGTAAAAACAAGGTTTTGCCTAGAGATGCGCTTTAATATTTCTAAAAAATTAGTAAACCAATATGTAACGATTACATGTATGTAATTTCATCCAAGCCTTTCACCAGAAACTATGCAGCCCTTCCATTTGATTTATAAGGTAGTTTAGTTGGTAGTTGTAACATGTATGCCAATAGCCATATGCACTATATGAAACATCAATAATATTGAAAAACTCACCAGGTGAATCACGGAGGCTCATGTCAACAAAATGTTTATCATCGTCAAAAATCTTGGCCATCTGGACTTGGTGAATGATATCTCCCGTGCAGTAGATCTGACTGAGAATAAATTTGATGAAATGAAATATATCAGAAACTGAGCAAGTTTAGAGATTGGTCATTGAATAAACCAAATTACAAAGGTGAATAATGTGATTTGTTTGAATATCAGACATGCAATTTTGTAACCCGAGAAAAAGCCATATAAAGTTGCTAATAAATATTTGGCTAGACATCCAACAGGTAAGGACATCTTTTGAACAGTAGATACTGTTTTGTACTAATTGCAGTTTTGGCAAGTAGACATTACTCTTTAGACAAAGATGGTTTAATCGGCTTAGTATTTCTATATCTCTATAAAACGTTTAACAAATAAAAGAAGCAGAAAATTGGAGAATGGCATTTGCAATCATGTTGTTGTTGTTGCTGTAATAAATTAAAATGTGACCTTGTTTTCCAAATACAGTGGACCTGTAAAGATGTTTTATATCATGTAAATGTACCACTGATTTTTTTCTAGTACACATAACAAGTATACATTTGTGGTTGACCTGTGCAGACACACCTACAGTATATCCCACTTTAACATGTGCAACTATAAATGCTATAAATGTGATCAACATGCCAACAGAAGATATTTAAAGATTAATCACAACAAACTTAAAATCTAAACTGATGACATTTAAAGGAAAGAACAGTACAAACAAAAATGTCTGCCAACAATTCTACAACATATTGTGACATATTTCCAGTTTAAAGAAAATATATCCCAAAGAGAAGGGCAATTTGATAGTCAGCAGTTCACTAATTAAATATATAAAAAAATGTGTGTACGGCAGTGTTCAGTAGGAAAAATGAAATTGAAAGTCTTATTTACCCCAAGATTGTGGCAAAAATCAGGAGAGTTTGCAAAATCTTCCCATTTTGATGAAAAGTATTTGAGTCACCAGGGAAGGTGAAATGAAGGTGGTTATTAAAGTGGACCTTTACCCCTGTACTGTTGTTTGTTTGTACTTTTCTTTCCTTTAAATATCATCAGTTTAGATTTGAAGATTGTTGTGATTAATCTTTAAATATCTTCTGTTGGCATGTGGATTATTTGACTAAAAATTACATTAGCATACAGCTCCGCATGCTGATATGAAACCATTTCACATACATTAGTTAAAAAAACATATTTGTATTTTACTTACAATTTCTTTTTTTCTACTTCCTGTTTTTATTTGGCAAAAGTGATGTAATGTGCCCAAGCATTGCATCCTGGGAAGGTTACATCAGCAGAGCATTGCTGTGAAATCTCAGGGAAAGGCATTTTCCTCCCCTGAGCTGATGTGCATGGTCACATGTTCTAGTCACATGTGCCAGAGTTACGGGAAGTAAAGGGAGATCTATTAATGGCCACTGTGAGCAGAATCTGGAGGAAAAGAAAAATAAGGTATGCAAAGAATAAAAAGCCGGAAAATATCTAGAAGTCTCTGTTTGTAGATTGTCATTACTAAACATTTGTAAAGGTGTCTTTGTTGTTATTTTGTAGATATGGGTAAAGTTCCTCTTTAAATGTGCAATTGAATTACTGAAGGCAAATAGGCTGTTCACTTTGCAAGGGAATTTTCCCTTAGCTTTATGAATGTGATGGAAATTCACTTTGCAAAGATTACCCAATCACATGCAAGGAAAACATTTTTTAAAACAGTATTTTTGTTTGCCCGTGATTGGATGATGGAAGTCAGCAGAGTTTCACCTCATTCACTAAACTAGGAGGAAACTTTCCCTGCAAAGTGAGCAGCCTGTTTACATTTTGGGGTCTATTCACTAAGCTGCCGTAGGCAGCCGAGTGAATGACCGACCTGAAGTGAAGTGAGCCGAACACTGTTCGGCTATTCACTTCAGGCTGGTACGGCTGATTTCAGCCGTACATCGGCTTGCTTCACATGGCTTCGGGAACCGAAGTGCAGAAGGAGTTCGACTCGGCTGAGCCGACCCTCCGGCAGGCTGCTCAATGCTGTTCGGTCTATTCTTATAGATGCTGAGCGGCATTTGGCTCGGCTGTTCTACTCGGTCCCTCAGAGGTAGCGAGCAGAACAGAAAAAGAGTGAAAAAAGTAAAAAAAAAGTACATAGAAAATGATTGTGCGGAGCTAGCAGTGTCAGCTAGCTCCGCCCAATAGTTTTCCATTGTCCGGCGGCTCTGCTGCCGTAAAAAAACAAAACAAGGAGGATGTCAGAATAGAAAAAAAAAAGAAAACATTTTTTTCCCCATTGAAATGCATTGCTACATTACTATTGGCTATTTCAATTTGCAATAGCCAATAGTAAACTAGCATTGTACCCGCCCTCTGCTGATGGACCTGATGGAGAACTGCAGCAGAGGGCGGGTACAATGCTAGTTTACTATTGGCTATTGCAAATTGAAATA